AGAATACTGACATTTGCTCTCTTGTCTTCCCAGTGAACTCGGAGGATGGAGCGTAGACTACGTTGGTGAAAGTTTTCAAGTGCCTTGAAGAGCCTCCTGTATGTGACTCACGTCTCACTCCCATATAGCAGGGTGGGGAGAACCACTGCTCGATATACGTGCAGCTTTGTATATAATTTCAGCTGCCTACAGCTGAAGACACGATTTCGGAGTCTGCCAAAGGCTTGAGATGCACATCTGATCCAATGCTGAATCTCTTCATCGATGTCTGCGGTGGTGGACAGGTGGGAGCTGAGATACCGAATGTGGGCAACATTAGAGAGGGAAGTACCGTTATGCTCGATGGATGGTGGGGGTGTGTCTGAACCAGTCTTACGTACATTCACCTCAAGACCGAAGTGTGCAGCGTCTGCGTAGGTATTCAGGATCTCCTGTAGATCGTGTTCAGTATGAGCATTAAGGGTGAGGTCATCTGCACACTGAAGTTCAGTAATGGAAGCTGCTGACACCTTTGTTTTTGCCTGGAGTCGTCTTATGTCGAAAAGACCCCCCTTCACCCGGGACTCGATGTTCACCCCGCTGGCTAAATCGGCACTGGCACGAGTAAGGAAGGCAGCCAAGGAATGGAAAAGAGAGTTGATGCCAGTACACACCCTTGTTTAAACCCTGTTTGTGCAGAACACTGCCGTTCATGCCATCGTGGAGTTGCCTCACAATGGTGATGAATTTTGGTGGGCAACCAAAACGGCTGAGGGTCCTCCTGTGGGCTTCCCTGTTGCCCGAGTCGAAGGCCTTGATTAGGTCGATGGAAGCCATGTACAGGTCACGACGCTGTTCTCTACAGTTTCCTGGATCTTGCGGTCAGCAAAGATCATGTCAGTGGTGCCACGTGATTGTCTAAAACCACATTGAGATTCTGGGAGGAAGTTGTCCCCCTTAGGAAGAAGTCTGTTTAGAAGGACTCGGGCGATAATCTTGCCAGCTACGGACAGCAGCGAGATCCCACGGTAGTTGCCACAGTCTGACCGGTCTCCCTTGTTCTTATAAATATTGACAATGGAGGCGTCTTTAAGAGTTTGGGGGATTTCCTCCTTTTCCTATATAATCTCCAGGATAGAGTGGAGACGGCTGGTAAGCAGAGGTCCTCCTGCTTTGTGCAGCTCTGCTGGGATTCCATCAGGCCCTGAAGCTTTGTTATTTTTCATCTGTTTGATGGCAGCTCTGGATGCTGAAGGACCTGCAGAGTAGTCAGGACATCCACATTAGTGTTTCGGTTGAGCAATGAATGGTAGTGCTCTTTCCAGCACTGAAGGAGGCCTTCATCATCTTTAATTATGAGGTCACCATCAGATGAGCGGAAGGGGGCTGTGCCACGAGTGACTGGCCCATAAAATGTTTCAGTGGAAATGGAAAATTCGCGCATCTTGTGCTGATCTGCAAGTTTTTGTGCTTCATATTCTTTATTTTTAAGCCAGTCGTTCATTAGATTGCGAAGTTCCCGCTGGACTGCTGCTTTCTTCTTGCGGAAGGTATCAGCTTTGGTTCAAGACTGAGGGTTGTTCTGCCAGTTAGTAAAAGCAGCACGTTTATCATTGATCTGTACTTTGAAGTACTTTGATTGCCGGGTCATTTTCATCAAACCAGTCCCGGTGTATTCTTTTGATCTGGCCGAGGGTTTCTCTGCATGTTTTTACCATAAGAGTATTAAGAATATCCCATTCGGCACTGGGATTCACGTTGTTTGCTGTTGGGATGTCTATAAGCCCATGTTCGAGCTGCTCTCTGATAGCATGTGCTGCAGCTAGATCCTGCAGACGCTTAGTATTAAAATCTCTTCTAGAGGCTTGCTGCCTTCGCCGTTTTGGGGTGACGTGAAGTGAGAGCGTGAATCTGACAAGTCGATGATCAGTGTCAAGTGGTCTGAGCCACGCATGGCACGGGTGATGAGGACATCTTGGCGATCTCTTTCTCTGACAATGATGTAGTCAATGAGATGCCAGTGTTTAGATCGTGGGTGGTGCCACGAACCCTTGAACTTGTCGGCCTGAATAAAGAAGGTATTGGTGAAAGTGAGATTGTATGCAGCACATTTGCTGAGGAGGAGTAGGCCGTTCGGATTACACTTGCTTAGTCCATTTCTCCCTGTGGTTCCCTGCCAAATGTTAGCATCTCTGCCAACTCTGGCCTTGAAGTCCCCAAGGAGCACAATTTTGTCTTCTCTGGGGATAGAGGTTATCACTCTGTCGAGGTGGGCGTAAAAGGCCTCCTTGATGTTATCCTCTGCATCCAGTGTTGGGGCGTATGCACCGATGAAGAAGGCATGACGTGAGTGATTCAGTGGAACTCGAAGCATCATGAGGCGCTCGTTGATCCCAATACACATTTCAGTTAGCCTATGTAGGATGCGTTGGCGGATGGCAAAGCCAACTCCATAAATGTAGTTTCTCTTCGCAGCAGGCTTACCCTTCCAGAAGAAGGTGTAGCCAAACCCCCGTTCTGTGAGTTGGTCCTCATCTTGGAGCCGGGACTCACTGATGGCTGCTATGTCGATGTTATACTTAGCCAGCTCTTTGCCACAAGGACAGTTCTTCTTTCAGGACGTGCATTTGTGCCAGTATCCAGAAGGGTCCTGACATTCCATGCAGCAACCATAAGAGGTTGTATAATTTGTTTTTGTTTGGATCTCCACAAGGCAGTGGGGCAGTGGTTGGTAGGCACCAGGGCGTGTTCACATGCCAGTGGGCCTATGCGCAGATCTTCTGAGGCCCACTGCTGCTCCGAGATCCCCTGCTGGTCTAGCCTGGGCCGCAAGGCAGCCAGTTACCGTGTGTTGCCACGAGGAGGCACAGCAGGAGTCTTGATGGGGATGAGGCTGTGTACTGGCAGGGGAAGACATGTGCAAGGTTGTTTCCTTTTTCATCGCGAGGACAAGTCAACGGTGGTAGCTGAGAGCGAGAGGAAGCAAGCAGTACCTGCATCTTAACACTAACCTAATGCTGCCACACTAGACACATTGCACCTTGCATCCTACTACCCTGCGTGCACACACACACACACACACACACACACACACACCAGAGAGATACTGTATAATAGTTTATTCTGTGAGATAATAGTCATCTGTAAGTCATTGCTGTGTTGACTGCTTAGAAAACTTACAAATTTTAGTAATTGGCTTCCCTTATCTCTTGAAATTCATCGATGGCTCATGCGTATGTTAGGTTTTTATAAATCACTTGTATCTTTAAATGGCTCAGAAATCATGCTGTGTTTATCAACCTTGTGGGAGTTATGCTCAAGATTGTCTCGGACTTTGCTTTTTTGTTAATGGCTTTGATATCTCCCGAGACTTACAAATGGCTCCCGAATTTCTAAGGTTTCTAAATGGGTATATATTTTTTTCAAGCTCTGTAAATGACTCGGGAATGTCTTGTTACTTGTCTGCCGTTAAGTGTTTAGTGACTCAAAAATCTTTAGATGTTTATTAATAGCTCAGGAATCACTTAAAGCTCATAAATGACTGAAGAATCTTGTGGATTTTGTAAATGACTCAAGAATTTTATGAGTTTTGTAAATGACGCAGGAATGTTATGGCTTTTGTAAATGGTTCAGGGTTCTCTCGTAGCCTGTAAATCATGAATTTTTTATTGCTCTTATTTTTTTGTGGCTTTTAAATGGCTTTGAAATTTCTTGAGGTGTCTTGATTATTTACTGTATCTATCGAGGCTTCTAAATGGCCCAGAGAACTTTTCTGAAATCATTCGGCGTCTGTAATTGCTTACTTTTAATGGCTCTGGGTTCATCTAAATGTCATAAATAGGTCTGAGCTCTATTGGTGCCTGGAAGTTATGGGATTTTCAATAGCTCAGGAATATCTGCACGGTATGAAATAGCTCATTAACCTTCAAGTCGTAGAAATGACTCTGAACTCTCTTGATGCCAGTACGTCCATGATTATTTAATGGCTCTGGAGTCTTTGTAAACATTCAAATGCCTCAAGAGTCTTTCTTAAATGGCTTCGGAGTCTTCTTTTAACAATCATATGGCTCAGGAAATTATATTGGGGCGGATTAAAACACAAGAGAATGAGTACACTTTTATTATAGTTAAAGTTTACATTGCTGGGCAGGCGGTGCTCGCGAGGGTGTTGGAGTGTGTTGTTAGAGTGTGTTGGTGTTGGAGTGTGTTGTTAGAGTGTGTTGGTGTTGGAGTGTGTTGATAGAGTGCGTTGGTGTTGGAGTGTGTTGATAGAGTGTGTTGGTGTTGGAATGTGTTGATAGAGTGCGTTGGTGTTGGAGTGAGTTGATAGAGTGTGTTGATGTTGGAGTGTGTTGATAGTGTGTATTGGTGTTGGAGTGTGTTGTTAGAGTGTGTTGGTGTTGGAGTGTCTTAGTGTTATTGTTGGAGTGTGTTGTTAGAGTGTGTAGGTGTTGGAGTATGTTGGTGTTGGAGTGTGTTGTTAGAGTGTGTTGGTGTTGGAGTGTGATGATAGAGTGCGTTGGTGTTGGCGTGTGTTGGTGGTGCTCGTGAGGGTATTAAAGTGTGTTGATGTTGGAATGTGTTGGTGTTAGAGTGTGTTGGTGTTGTTGTGCGTTGGTTTTGGATTGTGTCTGTTAAAGTATGTTACAAGAATATAGTGTGTTGATACAAGAGAGTATGATGGTGTATTGACATTGGAAAGTGTTTCAGATAGAGTGTGTTCGTGCTGGAGTGTGTTGGTCCTTTTGTTGGCTTTAGAGTGTGTTGATATTGAAGTGTGTTGGCCTTGGAGTGCATTGATGTGAAAATGTGTCAGTGCTGGAGTATGTTGATATGGAGTGCCTTGGTTTTGGAGTGTGTTGGCTCGTGAGTGTGTTAATTTTGGAGTGTGTTGGAATTGGAGTATGTTGACACTGGAGTGAGTTGTTGTTTGAGTGTTAGTAATGTGTTGTTATTGGAGTGTGTTGACGATGAAGTGTGTTGACGATGGAGTGTGTTGTCATTAGAGTGTGTTGATGATGGAGTGTGTTGACGCTGGAGTGTGTTGACATTAGAGTGTGTTGATGATGGAGTGTGTTGACGATGGAGTGTGTTGTCATTAGAGTGTGTTGACGATGGAGTGTGTTGTCATTAGAGTGTGTTGACGCTGGAGTGTATTAACTCATGTCGACGCTGGAGTGTGTTAATTCTCGAGTATGTTGACGCTGGAGTCAAGTTGTCAGCTAGAGTGTGTTGAGGCTGGAGGTGTTGTCATTAGAGTGTGCTGACGCTGGAGGGTATTAGTTTTGAAGTGTGTTGACGATGGAGTAAGGTCATTAGAGTGTGTTGTCGATGGCGTGTGTAATTTTGGAGTAT